CATTGTGACATTGTTGTATTTAGATGGCTATTAACTGTTTGTGTGATGTTGTTGTATTTAGATGGCTATTAACTGTTTGTGAGGAGCAGCTAAGAGTGAGTCTGGCTCTTCTTGGTGGTTGTTTATCCCAGGCCAATTGTTGGAGAAGGAAGAGGTGGCTCTCACTCAGTAAGTGAAGCTACAGGAGGTGGGAATGTAGTTGTGTCCTATGGCGAGTGTTGCTGTCTCCCACTCTGTTAGACAAAAATAAAAATTGAATAACAATCAAAGGTAAAACCAGAAGTATAAAAAACACACTGTGTAATCACAAGGACCTGGCCTGGATTCCATTTCCCTGGTCTCAGCGCATACACCTGAACACACAGAGACATTGGAACCTGTGACCGAGCCTCTCTATCATCCATCCATACATCCATCCATCCACCCACCAACCATCCATCAAGTCATCCATCCATCCATCCATACATACATACAACCATCCATCCATCCATCCATCCAACCATCCATCCATCCATCCATCCATTCATCCATCCATCCATCCATCCAACCATCCATCCATCCATCCTGTCATCCATCCATCCAACTATCCATCCATCCATCCATTCATCCATCCAACCATCAATCCATCCATCCAGTCATCCATCCATCCATCCATCCAACCATCCATCCATCCATCCATCCATCCATCCATCTATCCATCAATGATTATCTATCTGTCTATCTATCTGTCTATCTATCTATCTATCTATCTATCTATCTATCTATCTATCTACCTGTCACTTACCTATCTCTAGGTCTATATTTCTCTCTCATTGTCTATCTTTGTTTCTCTCTTGACATCACATATATAGAGCATTACCAAAGCCAATATTTTTTCCAAATATTTTTATTTAATCAATCAGGGGTAGATTTTAAATGTCTCATAAATAATCATGACTGTGAATTGGCTTTGACAGCCATGGAGTTATGCAAAGTATAAATAATAATACAAAATAAATAAGATAACACTTAACAGCAGTTAAGGAAAAGGAGGTGATACTTAACTGTGCAATTGTCTTCATCTTGTCTGGAGAGCATCATTATACGTGATCAAGAGCCTCATGGAGGCTGTAACGGGAGGGCTTGAGACTGAGATGCTGGGTGACATCCAGGTGCAGGACTCCAATGGAAAGGGGTTGGAAGAGTGGCAAGATCCATAAAGTCTTTCATACGGAATGAAGTTCCAGGTGACTCCTAATCCAACGTCAGTCTTGATGACCCGTGAGAAAGACTCACAGATTTCTTACAAGGCTGATATACTCACTCTTAGGGCTCCTTACAGGGAGCTGGTCCTTTAACTTCTTAGAAAATTTTTCCTTTGTTTTTGAGGATCGTCATTATGGTCGAGGGCAAAGTGCCTAAAGCGCAAACAACAGCATTCACTGCTTCCCCATCGTTGTGCTGTTTAATAACCTTTTGTTCCCCTCTCAAATCAATGGTTGTCCTTTGCCTCTCACTGCTGCTGCCAGTAGCACTTTATAATGCTATGACACTTTACAATCCAGAATATAAACCATAAGAAGGAAAACTGCAAGTGGTCAAGGCTAGGAGCAAAGATAAGCTGCCAAGTGTCCTCTCCCAGTGGAGTCCCAAGGACACAGAAAATCCAACCAGCAACCATGTGTTACCACAGGAGAGAAGGATGGCAAATGAGGGAAGTTCACCTGAGCCTGGGCACTTGGATTTTATTAGGATTCAGTCACACCGACATTCAGAGCCTCCGTGATTGACCTCAGCTACACAGTGCCAGGCTCTTAGGGCAGACACCGGGGTTCTCCATAAGCCACACGGCTTCCACGAACTCCCTGATTACATGAGGCCTCAGTCACAGAAAACAAGGTGTCATGACAAATCATATTGTTACCATGAAGTATTTACCAACCTGGTTCGGTGTGCTCTGAGGCCTTAGGCATTTAAAAGCAAAACAAACAGAAAAAAAACTCACCAGGCAGATTATATCAAGGGCTCATAGACTGTCTCCCAGTGACCAGGTAAGGTCCATTCCTGAACTGAGGAATTTCTTGGGGTGGGCAGGGTTTGAACAAACAAGTTCTGATGAGTTGACATTTTTAACTGCACCCTCCAGTCAATGGCCTAGACTCTCATTCAGCCAAGTTATCATATTTGCTTACCATCCACATTTAGTATAACATTCATGTGAAGATAGAGCACAAACATCAGTGTGGGAGTGCCTGTGTTTGGAGAAGACAATACAACATACTAAAACTCTAGTCTTGTCTGGCCCTCCCTCCCCACGTCCTGTGGCTGAGTCTCCAGTTAGATTATTATAGATCCTGTACCTAATAGAGTAAAAAAAAAAACTCATTGCCATCCAGTTGATTCTGGCTCACAGGGACCCCCTTTGGGTTATTAAGGCAGTAAATATTTATGGAAGTAGACTGCCCAGTCTTGCTTCCACAGAGTGCCTGGTGGGTTTGAACCACCAACCTTCCGGTTAGCAGTCAGATGCCTTCGGCACTGTGCTACCAGAGCTCCTTATTCAGTAGAGTTAAGTTGATTTCATTTATTTTGCCTTTGAGGTTGTATTACTTGTGGAACAGAGCTATCGTCTTACTCCCGTCAAATACTGGATATGTGGTGCTTGTGTTGGCCCGTGTTGTTACATTTGCTGCAGACCACCCTCCTCTCTTTCTCATGGGCAGACTGAAGTATTTCTCTACTGATCTTTCTGTTCTATCTGTAGGACTCCCTTAAATAATCCTTGCAGAGCCGGTTTGGTAGTAACACATTATCAGAGCTTCTGTTTATCTGCGAATGTCTTCATTTGTCCCACAGTTCTGAATAACTTTCCTGGGTAAAGAATTCTTGGCTGCAATTACTTTCCTTCAATACTTTACATATGTCACTCCATTGTCTTCTGGTTTCCAAGGCTTCTGAGGAGAATCCACAACGACTCCTATGAGAAACGTTGATATGTTATTTGTGCTTTTCTCTTCCTGCTTTCATCATTTACTCCTTGTCTTGGGTTTCAATGATGCTATTGCACTGTTTAACAGCGTAAAAAACAAACCAAACTAATGGCTTTGAGTTGATTTTCATGCATTGCTACACCATTTGGGTTTCTGAGGTGGTAAATCTTTTTTTGTGTTTCTGAAATAATAAATCTTTAGAGGTGTGTATTTTTCAGTTTGTCTTCCTCACAGCAGCTCAGGCATTTGAACAGCCAACCTCCTTGTTCGCAGTCAAATGCTTTGGTTCACTATGCCACTAGAGCTGCTAACAGCATAGGCCTCTTTATATCATTTCTGATTAGGGCTCGTCCAGGATCCTGGATTTGCAGGTTCAATTCCTTACTCAGATCTGGGCCATCCACTGTGATTATCTTTGGAAAAATACTTTTCCCTGGCTTTGTTCACTTTCTTCATTGTGTTGATTCAAGCTTGGTTAAGTATTTGATGGACTTTTGTCTTCCTGGCCATTGGTTGAGTCATAAATTTTCTGAGAATCTTGTTCTTAGGGCCATCCTGTCTTTTATAATACACTTGGGCTTCCCTGTCCCATATGCTTGGATTGTCAGAGGGAATACACCCCACCTTATTCCATCTGCACTTTTCTTAGATTCTAGGATTCCATCCACATTATATGACTATGTCACTGTCTCTCAGTTCTACCCTGATAAGAGGGCACACCCATTCTTCCTGGATGACTTCCCCAAGGCTATTTACCTTGTATGTCTGAATCTATGTGGCCTCCACGGACAGCCATCTTGGGTTTCTTGTTCAGTTGTATCAGCATTCATGATCCAAAATGGCCACATTGTGCTGACCCACCAGTAAGCTAAAGGTAGTCAGCGAGTCTGTCTTTCCACCTTCCGCTCTCTCTCCCTCCTGACTCAGGTCTCAGATTGTTTTTTCAACACTGAGATGACTGTACAGAATCCCAAACTATGTCTCTGTCTTAGTTTTTATCTTTGTTCAACAAATTAGTTGCAGGGGGTGTAAGGGAGCAGCTGCCCAAGTCACCATCCAACCCTCCTCTCTTACCGTGGATTTGTAATAATTCTGTATCACTTGAAATTTCTCTGAAGACCTTGATCATCCTGGTCTCCCAAAGGGTGGTCAGCTCACTTGTTGATTTCCGTCAATTTAGAAGAGGATTTCCTTCTTAATTTCTATGGAATAATGATTCTTTTCGTCAGATGTTTCCTAACCTATAACAATTCTATTTATTTATTTATTTTGGGTTGTTGTTGTTGTTCTCAAGCATGGCTTTGAAGTTTCATAAAGGATGCTTTGCAGTATCTTTTTTTTCTTGTTTTTTAAGCTTTCCCTTCAGATATAATAATTGTGTGTGTGTGTGTGTGTGTGCGTGTGTGTCAGAGAGAAAGAGAGAGACTTAGGCATTTCCCACTCAATTTGTAGTTATCACTTATCTTGGGCCACTATGGAATCCCGGGGTACATAATCCTCCTGGCATTAAGACTTACCACTGTCACATAATAGCCCAGTAAATTCATTTAAAGCTCTACTACTGTGAGAGCCACCATGATTATAACACATTCACTATCATTACAATAAGTTATTTAAGTGCATCACCTATTCGGTTATATTTTTCTTATTACAGGATGGGCTGATATCTGTATTTCTGTATGTTTTTATACTTATAATTTTAAGTATCTCTCAAGTTGTATGAATCATTTCAATAAAGTCATATAAAGTTATTGTCTGCCTTCCACACCTGTGACTGATCTGACTTCCAATAACAGGCCACAGATCATAGTTGATCCATCTGACATAGGAAACTGAAACCTCTTTCTTGAGACATTGTGGAAAAAACGAACACACTGTTGCCCTTGCATTCACCACTGACAGGAGACATGCGTCCTCCCAGTTGAGGAAAAAAGGGCCCAAGCCTCAGGGGAGCAGAACCCCAGGCCTGACAGGAAATGCTTTCTTTCTGCACCACCCTCTCTCCTGCAGAGGTGGGAGCACAGCTGAGAATCAGCCCGGGTTCTTGTACAGAAGGTCCCCTGTGCTGTGTCTCTGTGCTGCATGTGCACAGTAATACATGGCTGTGTCTGCAGGGTCCATGTTGGTCAGAGTTAGAAACACTTGGTTTTTGGAGGTGTCTTTGGAGATTGTGAGCCGGCTCTTCAGAGATGGGTTGTAATACTTAGCATCATTCGACCATATGTTTATGAGCCACTCCAGGGCCTTCCCTGGAGGCTGGCGGATCCAGCCCACACCCATATTAGTAGTGCTCATTGAGAACCCGGAGAAGGAGCAGGTCAGCGACAGGGTCTGGGTGGGTTTCAGCAGCCCAGGGCCGGACTCCTTCAGGGTGACCTGGGACAGAACCCCTGTGGAGAAAGCACAAGAAGAAAGTTACGTTGCTTGGAAACAATGACAGGACTCTTCTCATCCCTGTGTGACCCCTGACCAGAGCACTCACAGGAAGGGAGCGTCAGCAGCAGGAGAGTGGAACCAAGCGTGTCCATGGTGGGGCACAGGAGTCACCGATGCAAGGCGAGGGCTCAGCTTTTCAAGGCAGGAGAGGGCGGGGCTGATGGAGATTTGCATTCCCTTTAAGCAAGTCCTGACCCTTTATAGTGGACCCAGGCATCAGGGTGCAGTAGAGGAGTGAGTCACTGATGGGGGAGTAGTGAGCCAACATGTGGGTTTCCAAGCACCCATTTCCCTGATGTACGATTTTCCACTTAAGGTCCAGTGTCTCAGAACCCGACATTCTTGGAAGTACAAGATGAAGAGAAGGCTGAGAGCCTCTGGTTGGAACATACAACGTCTCCTCAACGAACGCTGGCTCAGGAGTATTTGCACTGTGATCACTGTTCTTGAGGTGTGTGGCAAGCTATCAATAGGGAAGTGTATAATTTGCCCCTTAAAGAAGCAGAGAGATGTGTGTGGAAGTTATTCACAAAGGCTCTTTTTGTCTCTGTGATGAGAAGAGTTAAGAGAAATGTGGTAGATGAGAGATAGCCAATTTGTAGATAATTTTAATTTGCTGTGTCAACAATCTAGTACCAACATGAGCCCCTCCTTCTCTGTACTCTTGAGCATGTCTGTGCTCAAGCCTGCATGTCTGTGTGAATATTCAATGTGTAAAGCACCTGAAACTGTGCCCATGAGACCTGATGAGAGACGGATACCTGCCTCCTTGCCCTCTCCCTCCTCATCACGTGACTTCAACAAGTAGAAGCAGTGTTGGAAGGATAAAATGGAGGGCTTTCAGGGGATCAGTTTGCTGGCAGCAATTTCTCCCCTAACCCTTCTCCACATCTGATCAGGAACCGAATCCTGCGCTAGTAGTGGCCTGAGACCTCCTCAAGCCCATATTTTCCCCACAGATACATAAATTAATGTGCAGAAATTGAACATTTTTAGAGATACTCACCCCTCTTTGGGCACCTTCCTGCTGACCCATATGATTGGTGTGATTGTGTGGAACTTAATCATTTTGAACATCGTGTATAAAATGAGATCATTGCTACCTCATAGTGGTTTTTTGAGTGCACAGTTGGGTAATCACAAGCCATTAGACCTGATCCTGAGGTTTTTCATTGCAATTCATGGATTAGAGGGAATGGCTAGTTTATTTCCCATGCACAGTCCTCTCAGAGTCAGAGAAAAGGATGTGAGGAGGCCCATGGATGCACGGAAAATGGGGTCTGGATTAACACAACATCCTTGACTTCTTCATCACTGCTCTTAGAAACATTCAGTTCACACAGACTTCCCCCATCATTGGCTCAGTTAATGATTCAGGGAGATTGGAGTGCCATGATTTGCCAAAATCTGGTTGCTGACTCATTTTTTGAGAGGACAATATGATGATTATATTCCTGTTAAATGTCACTGCATGGACAAGTCTCTTTTTCACTGAAAACACAAGGTGGTATAATCTGACTTTCGTGGGATGATGGATGTCACGCAAAGGTGTCATTACCCATGCAATTTGCCCTTCTTACACTGTATTCACATGCACTCGCACACATGTGCAAAGACACACACATATACTTTCTCGTATTTCCAGTTTGTACACATTTGTTACATTGCTTTTTCCTTCTCCCATATAAAAATGTCTCTTAATTATCCATCTAATTTTTTCCCTCTTTTTCCTCTCCTCCCACCCTTACTAGCCAACAAGGAAAATCCCCTCCCCTGTGTAAATGTTTCCTTGATTTTTTTAAATGATAATTTACTCCTATAATATTTGTCCATCTGTTATTGACTTATGTCACTCAGCATTGTATCCTCTAAGTTCACCCATGTTATGTAAGAAATTTCTGTTTAAGAAAATATAGCTGACACATATACTACAAAAATATCACATTCAACTTTTCTGGAAGGGAATACACCATTTTCTTACTGAGGCAACATGGGAGTTCACACTTTTGAGTGAGGACCAACAGTAAGTTTTCCTGGACTTCATGGAAATATCTGTAATGTGGGGACTTAATGGCACCTCACACCCCAGTAACATGCAGCATCTACAGTGAAATGATGCTTTCGATAGTATTTCTAGCTCTGTTAAATTCTCTCTTTTGTTTACAAGAGTCAATGTCTTGAACACAGAGGGAGACCCTCACCTGGTCAAGGGGTGTGTTAACTGGTGTCACACAGACAACCCATTTACGACGTATGACCTGCATTTACCATGGTGGGGTGAGGATCGTCCATCTTGAGAATGATTAATGCTTTCTATAATACACACAATAAAACAAAGTGCAGATACAAGCATAAAAGAAACACAGGAATTAACACACATGTTATCGTACACAAAGTAATACATACAAACACACAGAAATTCATGAATGTTGACACACACAAACATAAATAAATAAGTAAAATTGTCTCTCACACACACAAACATGATTACAAGAATTGCGACCCCCATGAGGAAGATGTTGTCCAGGCAGGAGCAGGGAACATCAGGCTCATTTAAGAACTGCTTGTCTCCTTCTCATCCTGTCCCAGATGGGCCTTGTGGTCCACGGGTCCTGAGCATCCCCTGCTGCCAGCCTTCTTCCTGCAGGGTGTTTGTGTCTGGGCGCATTGGGTCTCTCACACAGTATTCCAGGACCGTGGGAAGTTCCAGAGTTCAGCTCCTGGGAGAACTGGTCCATTAGCCATGTCTCTACAGGAAGAGTTTTCTCTGGAAGGATGGGTATAGGTGTGTTCTACACTTACCTTGTAATGAGCAGGTGCAGGGTGCACTGGGCAGAAGAGCACATGTCTAGTCCTGGGTGCTGAGCTGCACGGGTGCATATTGAGACTAAGAATAAAAGGGGTTCTGTGTCTTCAAACTTGTTTTATCAATGTTCACACTTCTATTAACCCCCTCCCACCACCCTTCTCTCATTAATTCATGTCCCACCACCCTTCTCTAATTAATTCGTGCAATGACCCATTCATATATTTGTTTATTTACAAAGTACTTCCATGTTGACATAAATTCCTTGACTTTAGGGAAGGCAGTATAAATGGTTTGGGGCAGTAGAGCTGCCTCCTGAATGATATTAAGAAGGGACAATATTACCATGGACCGAGGGAATGTTTCCATCCCAGAAGGCAATTTATACTGAAAAGTCATCTGAAAGCTGCTCTCCAGAGGTGGTGTCACTGAATCCTGGGATTATGTCTGGTTCCCTTCAAGTTAATAGTGGTGGGGAGCACAGCACAATTCAGTCCCTGCTCACTGAGACCTACTCCTCTCAATTGAGTCTCAAAAAATTTGGAAACATATAAATAACTTTATGTGTGAATTTTCTAGAAGAAGCTCAATGGTGTTGGATATTGTTATCACGGTCCTCAGTGTTATGTCCACCCCAGGAGCCCTTGTGGGGCAGTGGCTAAGTGTCCGCAGATTATTGAAAGGTGAGCAATTGGAGCACACCAACTACTTCTCAGGAGGAAGATGGGGCCGCCTGCTTCTGGAAAGATCATAGTCTTGGAGAACTGACAGAGAAGATCTACTCTGTCTTATAGGGTCACTATAAGTTGGAGTACCTCAGTCAAAATTGTGTTATTCAATATTCTGAGTCCATAGTAGTGCAATAATAAGCCATTTATGCCGATGTTGAGGGTTTTGATCATCATTCATGAATTAGAGAGACTGGATAGTTTATTTCACATGCACAGTCCTCTCATAGTAGGATAAAATGATGTGAGGAGGTCCATCCGTCGACACATGGAAAAATGGGTCTGGGTTTATACAAAATCCTTCCCTTCTTCATCATCGTTCTTAGAAACACTCAGAGCCCACTCTCTTTCCCCATCATTGGTAAGTGAATTAAACAGTAAATAACTTCCATTCCTGAATGCAGGAAATAGGAAAGTCACCAGAATAAGATGTGGTGATAAATAGGACAAATCTGGATTACGTGGGTAGGACCTGGAAAAATGGGTTGACCTGCTGTGGGACTGTCAGCATCTGACATAAAGACACAGATGGTCCCTGTTCTTACCAAAAGTTGTCTGGGGCTTGAGGTTTCACAGAAGTGTGTGCCTGGGCTTCAGTGACTGATGTATCAGGAGAAATACTAATATAAGAGAAAAGAAATTGCTGAAAAAAGATGTGAAGACTAAGTACCACATAAATGTTCCCTACAAAGCACACTTGTGAGTGTTGCTGACAGGAGCGTTGTGTGTTGGCTGGGGATGAGGAAGCACAGAGACCATTAAATGAGAAAATGAAGGAGAGGGAAGACTGCCACCAGAGGGTGTGCTGGCTCAGCAGGTGCCCATGAGAATAGTCCATCTGACCATGAACTATGGGGACCTGTTTTGCTCAATAGATTTAAACCTGTTGTGGGGACTCACCAGGTCAACATGTGGTCCCAGGATTCACTTACCCTGTGTCCTGTACTAAGGAGTTAATGAGTGCTGTCAGAGGTAAAGAAAAACTGGTGTAAGTAGCAGAGGCTGTGATGTTATCCAGAAATCAAGAAATACAGGGCTATCCTTGGAGACAAGAACTGCATTTTCAGGCAAGAGGTCCCAGTAAAGGTAACTTCATGGGGGTTTAGAACCTCCTGGTGAAGCAGGATAGAGCTGGCCTGCAGAATGTAATGAGGACCTCAGGGACTACCCACTCTGTCAGATGGACAATGATCCACAGCAGAGTCCTTGGCTTTCAGGCTGCCATTGGAACACACAGCCTGTTCTTGGCATTGTCTCTGGAGATGGGGAATTGGCCTTTCACGGGGTCTCCATGTGTCTTAGTCTCACAGACACCCACTGCAGTCCCTTTCCTGGGACCTGATGGAACCAGTTCGTCCAGTGGCAGTTGAAGGTGAATTCAGAGGCTGCATTCAAGACTCTCAGTCACCCCCAAAACTGGCTCAAATGACCTCAAACTCCACCAGCTGAAATTCACACTGGACCCTGAAAACACAGAGACAATTGGCTTACACATCTCTTCACTTTTTTCTTTCTCTCAGATCAATAAATGAATATTCTTATTGTGCTAAAACATTAG